CCTCATATTCTACCGCCCAGCTGTGCTTTCTCAGCGTTTCCACGACAACCAGAGGAATGTCCCGTCATGTCTACCGGCCTGCCAGGGAAAAAAATGAAAGCAGGAAGAAGATAAAGATGGAGAAGACACTCTAAGGTTGAAGTATTTTTAAAGGGACGTACTCTAATGTATTTGTACTCTTGTTAATGTGAAACAATCACACACAAAAATAAAAACTTCTTATTTCATTTGTTTTTTAAATAAATTACTGGACATTTCTGAATGCAACAAACATGTATAAGTGAGGAAACGTTTGGCTCATTTAGCACAAAAAGTGTGGACTTTTGTGTTATTTCTTTGTTGAATGATTCTTGGAGTTTCAGTGTTTTCTTCCTGCAGCTCATCGGCTGATTGATGGGTGGAGATTAGTGACGAGCTCCTGAGCTTTAAAATTATCTGATCAATGCGGGAGCATCACAAAGTTCCCAGCTGCTCAGATAATCCCACCTACCTGAGTTTAATGTTAAACTCCTTGTGCACAGAACTGACCAACGTCCTCCTAGCCTGATCGAGCTCATCCACCTGAACCACCTGTCTGCCTCGCAGCTCCACTTCACTCGTAATCCTCACTGGACACTGAAGCTGTTTGGCAAAGGTTTTTTTTTCATGTGCACAACCCATAAGCTCTACTGTTCATTCCACAAATGCATGTTCCTTACAAATGTGGTATTTAAAAAGAAATCACCAGGCTTTTCAACAGAGATTTAATGCCAAGAAGCATTACAACAAAGGAATAATCTAAACACTGATTCCATTATTATTTTAATAATGTTAAATAATGTTATTTTTATTATTCCATTATTCCAATATTATTCCATACACTCCTACACACCTTCAAAGCTATCCACAACCTCCCCCCTCCTTACCTGTCTGACCTCCTGAACATCTCCACACCCTCCCGCTCTCTAAGATCTGCCTCCTCCCTCCAACTCTCAACACCCCCTGCCTGCCTCAGCACCAGAGCTTTCAGCCGCTCTGCTCCGCAGCTCTGGAACTCACTACCCCACGGATTACGCAATACCACCTCCCTCTCCCTGTTTAAGACTAACCTGAAAACACATCTTTTCAGACTAGGCTACTGTTAACTCCGATTGTACCACAATATTTGACTGTTTTGTAGTCCTCATTTCTGTTTCTCCCCCACAACCCTATTGTTCAACTTATCTATATTTTATATTTCTTTACTTGACTGTTCTGTACTCCTCATTTCTATGTTTCTGCCACACTACCCTATCACTTTATGTATTTACAGTTGTTATTGTTTTTTTTTTATTGTACAGTGTCCTTGGGTGTCCTGAAAGGTGCTTTATAAATAAAATGCATTATTATTATTACTTTTTGTGCTAAGTTTAGATGTAAGAACATCTCTTAATAGTTAAAATTAGAAGTCTTCACAGTAAAACATCATGCAGAACATGTAAAATGTTTGTTTCAACCTTTTACTTGAAGCATAAACAGCATCAGAGTTTTAACACTTGCAAAACCTTCCATAACCGTTTAACAAACGAAGGAGAATGCCCAGCGTGCAGGTTCTGGGACGCATCAAAGTAACAATAAGCTTTTCAGAGCTAACAGGAATTTTCTTTGCCAACATAATCAATTCAACCAAAAAAAGGTACCCTGAAAAACAGACTTCTGCTAATTTTAATCTTTGTAAGCTGTCGACAGGTTCTGAAAAATATTATTAGTGAATTGGACTTGAATTGGTTTCTAAATTGACCATGATGCATCAAGAAGTGTGAAAACAGTTTATTTATCGTCATGACTGTAAACCTCAAGGGTCGCATAGAGCAACATTGTTGTTCAAGCACCCAAATTTTCAGGATTAAAACCTTTTTTTTTGCATCATGAAAATAACYGTCTTTGATTTTAGGTGTTTTATTCTGAGTGCAACACATCGATTAATGATTCAAATAGGAAAAATGCATCCTTGTCATTGTCATAGGATCGATATGGTCAGGACCAAATCGATCACAGATTTGTGAATTAAATAAAAACTTTATCACATATTTTGTGATATTGAGAATCATCGTCTCCATCCAAACAAATCGATATAAAATCACATTGTGATAAAGCTGGTGATTCGTTTTTTATTGGCTGCATTGTTCAAATTAAAATTTCTTGTCTAAAGTAGCACTTATTCTCACAAAGCTTTTCATGTTGATGAGTGATGATGAACTTTCTGAACTATTTAACATATATATTGCRTTTTGGCAGTGTGGTGTATCAAAAAGAATTTCTCCTCCTAAAGACCAGACAAGTCCACAGCAATGCCTGTAGTGTGGACTCTGTCCTGCCATGGGAACAGGCAGCTATTTGCTTTGATTTGCAACAGAAAAGCTTGTGACTGTCAGAGAAGGTTCTGTTTGGTCTTCTCCTGGCCAGTTTAAGTGTTAAAAGTGTCATTATTTAGCCTCCGAGGGCTGAGTGAGGAGAGGGCAAACAGGATTGTGTGACTTTCTGTCAAGAGCCTCCGTCCTCCAGAAGCTCATTAAGGGACAGGGCCCAGTTTCCTTTTGTAAACCCTCTCTAAAGCCACTCACAGGTCGACTGGCTGGAGGAGCTGGTTGAGTTTTGGAGCTGGAAGGGACACATGAAAGATGGCGCGCTGTGAGGTGGTGTTGGAGACTTATTAAAACAGCAGGAAAAGACTCTGGACTGGAGCCAAAGAGGATCTCACCCTGTAGCGGTGACCGGATCTGCAAAGAAGTTGGATGCACTCGTTCTGATGCTCTCCTGACTGAATGTCTGAACATCTGAGTGAGCATGGAAGGCCGCTTGCAGGACTCCATGATCAACTTCGTCGGTGAAATCAACCTGATGGCGTTTCCTCCAAAGCACGCAGCAGGACCAAAGGAGCAGGGGGACGTTGCGCGCAACCAGACCCGGAAAATAAACGGAGAGCTGCGGGACTCTGCGCGCACCGAGCCGCCCGGCGCGCAGAGTCCCGGGATGGTTTCACCGCGGAGGTGCTGCAGGTCCAAACGGAGGAGGGTCATCACCGGAGTCCAGCGGCAGGCGGCCAACGTCAGGGAGAGGAAGAGGATGTTCAGCCTGAACGAGGCGTTCGACGAGCTGAGGAGGAAGGTTCCCACGTTCGCCTACGAGAAGAGGCTGTCCCGGATCGAGACGCTGCGCCTGGCCATCGTTTACATCTCCTTCATGACGGACCTGCTGGAGAACACCTGAAGAAGAAGCTGAAGGAATATAACTTTAAATATTTTATATTACATATCTTAAAAGCTGTCGTACAT